TTAAGAGAGCACAAAACAAAATGGCTTTCTCTTTGTAAACTTTTTGTTATGTTGATTTTGAAGTATTGCCATCTAATTTTGGCATATTTACTAGATTTGCGTTCCCGAACTTTTCAAATTATTTTGTACTCTGAGACTTGAAATGTTTCCCTTTTACTAGCTTTACTATTAAACAAGTGAAAAGGCGTTAAGTTCGGCCGGGCCGACAGGTATACTGACAGGTATTTGAAATGAAAAAGTGGACCGATATTTATAATTAGAGATATTTGGTACCCAATATGAACCCACTGTACCAAATTTCAGCGAATTCGGTTGAAAATCGCGCTTAAGAACCTCAAAATACCGAAAATTTGGGGTACCCTTATATGGGAGCTATGCCTAAACGTGGACCGATATATCCCATCTTCGAACTTGACCTGCCTGCAGACAAAAGACAAACCTATGCAAAATTTCAGCACCCTATCTCAATTCCTTCAGAAGATAGCGTGATTACAACAGACGGACGGACATGGCTAGATCGTCTTAGAATTTTACCCTGATCAAGAATATATATACTTTATAGGGTCGGAAATGAATATTTCGATGAGTTACAAACGGAATGACAAAATTAATATACCCTCCATACTATGGTGGAGGGTATAAAAAGTACTGGAACAGACCATTTGTTGGCGAAGGTTTGCGTACGACGTCGCTTCCCACTGTTCTTTTGAATCTCTCTCTCTCTCTTTTATTATTTTTTTTTCGTTTTTCCATATATAGTTCCTTTGCTCCATATAGTTCCTTTGCTTCAAATAGTTCAAGAAAGGAACTGGATCAGAGAAAGGAATTATAGGTGTGTCTGGTTACTTTCCCTGCAGGAATTGTCCAGTAACTTCTTTCTGAGAGAGTAAGGTAGTTTTATTCTCTTTTGCAAGAAAAATGCGAAAAGTAAACAGACGGCATCCCTGCAGAAGCTTGCAACTAATCAGCTGATTTGTCAAAACAAACCAATTTGTCCGCCATTATAAAGAATTAAAAGAAAGATCTTCTTCCGTCATTTTTCTAAAAATGCTGGAAATAGTCTTTTATTTTCCTATTACATATTAATACTTACGTTTTTCTCGTTTTGTAAAGTTTTTCTCCAAAAACAATTAGTCTTGCTAATTCCAAAAAAAATTATTTTCAAATTGAAAGCACAAAAATAAATAAACAAACAATAGAAAACATCTGATTGAATGTCGATGTATGAGAAGAAGAAGAGTTGCAAGAGATTGCAAGAAGAAATTTTTCCAGCAAGAATTTGCAAACTCTCACTGAAAGAACTGTCAAAATTTCTCTCTCCAACCGCTCTCTTTTGCAGAACTTTTGGGTTAACAGACGACTTCCAGTAACAATTTGTAACAATTGTTACAAACTTTAGGGTAACCAGACACACCTTATATTAATTAAAGAACTGGAACTAGTTCCGTTCGTTCCTTTCTCGGAATAGTTCCAATGAACTAGTTCGTTCCGGAACTGAACTACAATTATAATAAAGGAAAGAAAATACAGAAAATACGGAAAAATACGAAACAAAAAAAGGAAGCTATTGCACAATGTTTGAAGTGTTTACAAAAAGGATGTATGGACATTTTGTTTTGTTGTTGCTGTTATGTTGAAACTCAAATAACAAAAACAAATAATTTGCATTTGCAATTTTGTTCAAGTTCAAAAATCCAACAAAAAAGAGAAATTCTTCTGGTGCCTGGAAAAGAGTAGAACGAACGGTGCTGGAAGAAAAGGAAACAAACCTTTTGGGTAAGCGTATATTATTTTTGTTTTATTTTATTGTTAAGGGATCGTTAATTCAGTGGAATGCAGGACGAGTTAAAGGGAATGGGGCTCTAGTAAGAATGCCCATGTTGACATGTTGTTGTAAAATTACATTGCAGAAAGTGTGACAATTCAACAAAAACTATTCATGTTTTATGCTTCGAAATGCTATGGGTCCTTGAACTACATTTGCAATTGCCGTTTGTCCTTTATTCAGATGACATAACATCTGAACACACACAATAGTTAGTTAATGGCCAAATGTGGAGAATTGCCCATGATGGCATTTTTGTTGGACGCATAGCGGACATCATTTTCAAAATGGGAATTCTAGAAAGTTGCTGTAAAAATCAAAAAATGTGACCGGCTAATTTGTTGTAGATCAGTTAAACATGAATGCTATCGTATACATAGAAGTGAACATTATTTCATCGTACATAAAATTTATAATTAAATGCAAAATTTAACTCCGAAAAAAATCATGTTAAAATTCCGATGTATGCGGTGTGTGGCAAGCCAAAACCGTTGTTTAAGACAAATGTAGGTGAGATCAGGAGCTTCAACTTTGGATATCAATTGTCGTGACACCATAACGGCTGGCATTCTAACCGACAGCATTGTTGATGATCGGCATGGAGTTCGTACGCAGCAGTGCCACATTAGCATTACAAGTCACCCTGAAACAATATAGACCGTGCAATAGGGCAGTTATGGTTACAATGATTAAATGCAAAATTTGAATCTTTGGATAATAAAAAAAGTTATATGTAGTTAAAATTCATATATCGATGTACGATAATGGCGTTGGCTCTATATCTTCTAAGACGAAGGAATATGTAAATAAATATTCACCAAAAAATTGCGAGTCATTCTCTTCATGGGTGGACAAAATGAAACTTCCACTAAACATAACCTTCTAAGCCGATACAATTTCGGGCTTAAGTTGAGTTTAGGGGCTCATCTCCGATTTTTCTGAAATTTTTACCACAGGTAGATCTCGTCTCCCTGATCACGAAAATATATGACTTTGGATATCAATTGTCTGAAGTTGAACACCATAACGGCATTTATGACAATGGTAATATTGACGGATACAGAAACATGTTTATTTAAAAGAAAAGATCGCATTTTCTATCTGTCCATGGAGTAAATCCCGGGCCGAGGGCCGGCTATATGAAAAACGTTGATATAAAGGAAATTTTAATGCTACAATTTTTAGTCCATTACAAAAAGTCACACTGAAAAAAAATTAGTTTAAAAACATTGTTGATATAGAATTTTCCCCTGTGCAATAGGCTATATAAGAAAAACTTTGATATAAAGGAAATTTTATGCTGTTACAAAAATAAATGCGAAGGCCGGCTAGAAAAAAATAGTTTAAAAACATTGTTGATGCGTTAAGAATTTTCCGCCTGTCCATCCGACAGGATTTGAATCTTTGGATAATAAATAGTATGCGCTGACGCCAGTTATATGTGGAATTCAAAAACAAAAATTCAAAATGCATATATCGTAAGGTATATGGATGATAGTACGATAATGGCGTTGGCTCTTTATCTTCTAAGGGGTATGTCAGACGAGCTGTCACTTTTCCGTATTCTTCTGACATATTCATAAGGAATATGTAAATAAATATCCTCCAAAAAATTTCGAGCCATTCAGTTCATGGATGGACAAAATGAAACTTCCACTGAACATTACCTTCTATTCCGATACAATTTCGAATACCAACTATTTTCGGAAATATCCGCTCTATGTCGATAACATTTTGAATACCAACACTATCATCTGAATATTCCTATCTATGCCGATAAAATTTTAAATACGAAATATTGTATGTGCAAACCTCTGATATAATTAAAAAATGGTTTTCAAGTCGATAGATGGTTGCTTTGTTATAGAACGACTTCATTGATCTCATATAAATCGATCAGATGTAATTTATAACGGTTCTTAAATTCCATTAGAAGCACAATAATTGGATACGCTCAATAGAAAAGTGGACCATTTCAGTTCGTCTTCCGGATGGCTCACAAGAAAGACGCATTTTAAAGAGTTAATCACGCCTACGGGCGTAAAAAATTACAATATCGCGCTGTGTTAAGCTTTCGCTTAACTTGCCATGTGTTTTATCTAAACGAAAAATAGTTTATCATCGAATACAAATTTGAGCGAAAATTGTTTATAAGAAGATCTCGTTTTTATACAACAATAATCCAAAGGATTCATAGATTGTTAGACGGTGTCTACATATGATGTATGGTCCTATACCTTTTATTTTAATAGAAAGTGGACTTGCTGGAGGAGGAACCGCCTTCAGTTCTTAAAAATAAAAAAGTGGACCATTTATCAAATCATCAAATTGGCTGTTCAAATGCATTTATATAGATTTTTTTGAGAGGAGGCCGGAGTGGGATTTCTAAAAGTGGTGTTAAATTTAACATTTTTAGTCAGGAGGTCTTTTATACTGTGAGAACCTTAAATTCGAAAGGATACCTTAAATCTGGGGTATCTGATTTATGGCCAGTACTAACCGGCCATAAATCTATTAACAACTTAATTTACAATGACCACAAATGTTATTGTCAAACCAAAACGTGACTACATTGTTGATGAACCCTGTCCCTGGTATTCGCATTCCATAGAATGGCAGCCTTGTAAAATGCTGAGACAGCAGGTGGAATGCTATCGCCCACACACCCGACCATAGAGCTTTTATATTGTCTGGTATTCAAACAAAATTGATTACTGTTGAGTCACAAAGACAATTTTAAATTTTTGATCAGGAATATCAGTTTTTTGGTAAAGAAAATTTTATTTATTTTTTTAATTTAAGGAACAAATTGATATAAAATAATAATTTCTGTTATATACCTAAGATGTTTTCCAATATTTTGTTTGCTTCTTTCTACATATGTATATTTTTTCTTTTATTTTTTTTTTTTTAAATGAGATGGAGATGGTAAGGGAATTATGCTGGTTATAATGGAATGTACATGATGGCCATCAAAGCTTGTGAGAGAACAAACAGTCTTATTAAATTTTGTTCTTTTCAATTAAATAGTTTTCTCAAGTTTTCCCTTCTCATTGCATCTGTAGCGAATGAAACGCATGTGTAAGATTTTCACATACATACGCTCTCTATTTCTCCCAAAAAAATTCCGAAATTTAGACGAAAATTTGTGTGATCAATGGCACGAAGTGTTGTTTGCCACTCTGAATCGTTATTGAATCCGAAACGGACGTATTGCGCGCGTGAGAAATTTCACACGAAACGTATATTCCGCAAGGCGACCATACTCACCAAATTAATTAGGTTAGAAAATGAAAATCAAAAAATTCAAAATTTCCTACTGAAAAGTAAAAATTATTTTTGGAATGTGATTTTTTCTTCTTTGGATTAAGTGGAAATTGAAAATTAAAAAGAATGTTTAGAAAAATGGGCAGTTATTTTTAGATATTCATAACAAAAAATAAAAATAAATATTTAAAACGGATGTTGATTGTCTGTCTGTCGCCAAATCTATATGTGAAAAATGTGAAGAAGACGTTCCACTTTCGTAACCGATCTGTCATTGTTTGTGAAGTGTGTATACATTTGTGTGCGAAAAGAAAATACAATTGTTTTTTCAGACAAAATTAAATTAAAACAAAAATTCCATTTCAAATTATTATAACAAAGAAAAAAAAAAAAACTAAAGTGGCAAACTTTATCATTGAGTAGCTAAACAAAAAACGAGATGAAAATCAATTCAAATGGAATATTTGATTGTGTGTAAGATCCATTCAAGATAAATAATTAAAAATAAATACGAAATCACATTCAATTTTATATGAAACGAATGCTGCTCAAAGGAAATGATATTTAAAAATAGACAAAAATTTGAGAGCACCAAAAAATAAAAAAAAATAAGCAAACGAAAGATACAACATCAACACAACGAAGAAGCATCATCATCAACAGCAGCCAACCTCCTCAGCTTTAGCAGCAACAACATCCAAACAACAACAATTCTAACCAAACCTCGTCATTATTTTTGTTGCCTGCCGTTCGTGTTGCCACTTTGAGAGAAAATAAAATCTCGAAATAAAAATGATTTTAAAAAATCAAAAATATTTGTAAATAATTCGAAAAATATACATAATTGTAAAATAAAACAAAAATATATATACCATGATTTTTTAAAGTATATAAAATAATATTTTAAAAATAATTTTTATATAATCCAATAATTGCAATTTCCCTTTTCTGTTTGTTTTTGTCAGCAAATCAATAATAATTGATGTTGATGATTTGTATGTTAAGCTAGCTATCTGGTAGTAGTATATGCTTATAAGAAATCTGCTTGCAAGATATCTATTAAGGGATAACACACCATAGAGAATTAAAGATGCTGCTGCTACATTGGTTTCCTCCGATGTGTTTATCATCAATGTCTTCTGCTTTTTGTTGTTGTTGTTATTTTTTTCTTTCGTCATAATAACGACGAAATAAAAACCAACCAACCGACCGACCCGACCATAGAAGAAAGTGTTTACAGAAATGGCTAGAATATTTTTAGATGGGTTAATTTTAAAATATATTCTGTTTCTCCCATTTTTTTCTTTATTTGGAATTTTTCTTCATTTTGTGTACTTATTTCATTTTGTATTTTTGAATACTAGATTGAAAGAAGAAATGCATGCAGGCATGGATATGCAGTAATATTATAATATAAACATTTGTAGTGACTCAGAAAATAATGAAAATTTTTATACCCCCTTTCACTCACCATATGATGGAGCGGGGATATATCGACCATTTATCAATAACCTATCGAAAGGGATTAGCGTATAGCCTATATGTATATGCTGGAGCTATTTTATGAATTTGTATGGTATTAGTATACCGTTCGGTAAATCTGCCCCGTCTGTTCATTCATTATAATTATAATGTCGAAGTGCGAAGAATGTACTGGTGTCTATATGTTTAGTAAAACATTTTAATGCTATATGGCGCAAAACAGTCCCCATAATAAACTACAGAAAATCCGGTTATTTTTTATACCCGATTTTGCCATGTCCGCCCGTCCATCCGTCCGTGCGTTGTCCGTCTGTCTGGCTGGTGCGCACGATAACTCTCGAAGGGAATAAATTTTGCACATCTTAATATTTCTTTCAAACTTATTTTAAGTTCGAAGATGGGGATCGGTCCACTCCTTCTGGTACCTCCACCACAAAATGGTCTAAATTGTGTTAAAAATTAACGAAACTTTGTAGAACCTATTATCTTTACCAAGCCTAGATCAAGTTTGAAGATGGGACAAATTGGTCCACCCTTTCTGGTACCTTCCTCACAGAGTGTCAAAATTTTCAATGCCTGTTTCGAACCAAACTTTGCACAACTCATTGTCTTTACAAAGTCTAGATTAAATCCGAAAATGGGACTTTTTGGTCCACTCCTTCTGGTACCTCCCCCACAAATGGTCAAAATTTTCAATATTTGTAAATCCAATATCAGGCGAATGGAATGCCCGATGTGAACCAAACTTTACACAACTCATTATCATTATAAAGTCTAGATTAAGTCCGAAGATGGGACTTTTTGTTCCACTCCCTCTGATACCTCCCCAATAAATGGTCAAAATTTTCAATATTAGTAAATCCAATATCAGCGAATGGAATGTCTGATTTGAACCAAACTTTGCACAACCCATTATCTTTACCAAGAATAGATCAAGTTTGAAGATGGGAGCCATTGATCCACTCCTTCTGGTACCTCCCCCACAAATGGTCAAAATTTTCAATATTTGTAAATCCAATATCAGGCGAATAGAATCCCCGATATGTTTTGGTCCACTCCTTTTGGTACCTCCCCACGAATGGTCAAAATTTTCAATATTTATAAATGCAATATCAGGCGAATAGAATGTCATATTTCAACCAAACCTTGCAAAACCTATTATCTTTACCAACCCTATATCAAATCCGAAGATGGTACCCAGTAGTCCACTCCATCCGGTACCTCCCACACAAATGGTCAATACTTTGATAAAAACATATTTCTTATATAAAGCTATTAATAATATCTGTGTGTAATTCCGAAGACCTCCACAAACCATAGGCTGGGGGTATATATCTGTCGGCAACACCGACTGACACTATTTTATTTGTTCATATGATAAAAACATCCATTTAACGACTTAGCCACGAGTCAAGTCCATTTTAAAAAGTGGTAATAATTTCGAATTTCGGATTCCCAGAGAATAAAGGTGTCCTTTAATTTTCAATATAGGCCCATAGTCCTTGCTATGTAACACTACTGCCCCATTTTAGGCATTTACAATTTTTTTTTTTGGTTACCCCGCAACCCCTACACACATTTTCAACCTAATTTCTCAATATAAGTTTTAACAAAATTTTGGGTTTTCAAAGAAAAAAACACTCGAGAGAATATTTTCAATTTGACCCAGCGTTCGACAAAGCCCAACCTATATAACAGTCATTTCGGACATTTAATTTGTTTGCGAATGAAATTGTCCTAAACGCAGTGGTTGTAATTCCAGATTTAGGTTTATTAAAGGTCCACATTTTAGGTGTATTAAAGGTCCTATATATACTTAAAATTTCGGGTCATTGTAGATTAAAGAACTTCACAGATTTTTTTGATAGTTTTCATCCTATTCAAAACTATTTTAACGAGCTAAACTATTCAAAGTTCGCCAAATGGCCTCTATTGACTACTCCTTAACACTAATTTTACTAAAGATATGAAAAATTTACAAATTTCTCTAAAAAATGGCATACAAATAGCAACAGGTTTTGCCCAGATGATGAACAACGATCATAAGACCAGAATCAGAACATTCGCATCATCTACATATGCCACCACTTTAGTTATCAGTTTATATCATTTTGCTTTCCTTATGCTATAGTCGACGCGGTTTAAAAAAAAAATATTATTTTTTTTTTAATTTTAAGAACCTAGGCTAAATAAATGGGCGATTCCAAAAACTTCTTTACATAGACTACTACTTTTTAGAAAAATTCTAAGCAATTTAATGCCATCTGAGGGCCGATATTCAAAACGATACTGCCGTCAACTGTTGCTGTCCAATGACTCCTTGCATTGTTTGGAATATTTTTTACTTCGGAGGCTTTGATATTATGGAATGAATTTTATAAATTGTAATAAAATATAAACTATTTGTACAGCGCGGTATACATCTGCCTAGCGAAGAAATTCCAAACAAAAAAATATATATATATATTTTTGTTTTCGAATTTCTATAGAGAACATATTTTCTTCTTGCAAGTCGTGACGTTGTTGTTATTGACGTTGCATTTTTGTGGATTACTTTTTCATCGAATTTTCTCCCAGTCACTTCACGCTCAGTTTTCTTTAATTTTATTTCGGTTGTTGTGCCTACAGACATCACGATGTTTTTTTCTTTGCTTTTTTGGTTTTTTTTTATTTTATATTTCTTAATTCAATTGATTGGCTTTTTGCCAAATTTTGAATATTTTGTTCATAGTAATTGAGTGTAGCAATACTTTCTTCCTGTTCATAATAGCATCCCATGTCCTACACTTGTTATTACTTATTGAATATATATACATACATATATACAACGTGGGCAAAAATATGATGGCTGATGGTGGGTGGTGGGAGAAAACATGAAGATAGACGATGAGAAGATGCCACAGTTGCGGCTACTGTCTTGCCTTAGCCGTCATCATCATTGCACATTTTCAAGAATTTATTGTTTGCAACAAAATTTTTTTTTTCTTGTTTTTCACATGCCTTTTCTGCTTCTTTTTCCTCTGCATGATGTGCTCTACTATTTGGCCTGAAAATGCTAATGAATAAAGCCGGCAATAAACAAAAAAATCTTAAGCAAAAACAAATGTAAATATGTCCTCTTTTGTCGATTAAAATTGTAAATATAATCGATATAGAAGATGTTGTTGTAGTCGGTTATACGCAAATGATTTTGGCGTAGTTGTATACTGACATCCGCACTTTTAATTTTAATTTTGTAACAGAAAAAATATTTGCCTTTTTATTTTGTTGCTTTATTAAGATTTTTTGGTTTTGTCAATTGGCAATATAAATAAAATTATTAATTGATAAACGCTTCATTTGCGAAGACGGGATTAAAAAAATACACACTACATTGTATAAATAATTATTTTATATTAGTATTTATTACATATTTTCAAGACGATGGAAGGTTAAACAAATCCACATAGAAAATAATTGACCTGAGCTATTCCGTATGTGTTTATATGGAAAAAATAGACATGACCTCTTTCGAATTTGTTTCTTTTGAAAAAGATAAACTTGAAGTTTTTTAGATTTTTTATTGGAAATAAGATTGGCAAGAGGTCCCTTAAGTTTTATACACTACACAACTATGTTGTCAGGGTATTATAGCTTTGTGCAGCCCCAAGAGATTGTAACGCCGCGAAATATTGGTCCTAGACTCACCTTTAAGTATACCGATCGTCATATCTCGACTAGCCGAGTCGATCTAGACATGTGTGTCCGTCCGTCTGTCCATTATAATTTGTAAACACGATACAGGCCACAGTTATGGACCAATCTTCACGATATTTTGTGTGTAGGATGGGTTCTGCCCAATGAAGTCCCTTATTGTTTTTGGTAAAGATCGAATAATATTTAAGGGATGAAATGGACCAAAAACATTATTTTTGTTGGATTTTCTGGTCGCTGCAGAGGCCTCAATTATGGCCCAAACATCGCGAATTTTTACATGCCTGTTATGATAATGAAATGTCAATATTAAGCGGGTCAAATGGTCCCCGACTTTTGTGTGAAAAATCACAAAATTTGTATTCTATTGCGCATATATTTACCCCTGAAGGCCATAGACCCGAGAAGTTGTTAGTATATACAAGAGGAATGGTTGATCTTTAAATTGATACCAATTATATTGTCGTATGTACTCGGATGTGGGAGATACAATTAAATATTTAACGATGCTTACTTATTCATATATTATTTAGTAACCCATTACCGCACTAGAGGGCGGAAATATAGCGCTGATCTCTTTGAAATTGTCCATGAGGTTCCAGGTATATAATTTTCGTTGATGATCAGATAACAATATTGGGATGAAGTGGACCGAAAATTTATTTTTTTGTGTTTTTTCGAGTCTATCTATAGGCTACAAGCCGAACAACGCAATATTGAATATTTTCCAAGCTCAGAATATTGGACCACAGGAAGTTAGATTTTCGTGGAAGTTGTGTAGGGTATTATATGGTCGGCCCCGTGCGACTATACTGTCCGACTATACTGCTTCTTCAAATTCCAAAAAAAAAAAAATGTTATAGAAAAATATCTCATAACATCGTAATTACAACCAATACCAATGTATCCCTGTTAGAAAATTCAAATGGTATCGAAGATTAAGTGTTACTGGGCTATTACCACCCTCCACCATTACAAAGGCCGCTAATTCGAATTCCTAAAATTTGTGTCCCATGTCTCAATCAGATCTTATATCAGATGCTGATTTAGCTATAGATGCCTCTACCAGCTCCTCAGAAACAAAACCATTGTAATGTAGTGGAGATACTACAGACAGCAATAAAAATAAAAAATAGTACTAATATCATCTTCCAATTCTGACATAAGACATGCTATTTTTTATAGAAAACATTAAATGAAAAATCGAGCTCGGTGCTATTCCGATTATTATCTACATAAAATACCTTAGATTTTATAGAAAAAAATTACGAGATTCTCTTAATATTCTCTATAAAATAAATTGATTCCTGGTCTCGGAGTAGTCTTGAGATCTCAGATTTTTTTACAGAAAAATTAATATAACGTCTATGTAATTTACTAATCCACAACATATTGCATTCTAATATAAATGCATTCACTATTATTTTACTTTTTTATAATTTTTTCTACAATATAATAATAAAAATCAACTTGCATTGTTTGCAGTTTTTTTTTATAACTAACAGCTGCCACTAATTCATAATTTATTTCTTTAATATATATAAATATCTACAAATAAACAAATATTCATTTCTCCACAATAATATTGAATTCATTCAATTCTATTCTCTTTCATTGCAGAGTATTCGGATTAGAACGATATGGTCCAATTTGACCAGGATAAATCGACACAATGTGCCGTTTATGATCAAACACCAGATTCAGAGCAAAAAAAGATCAATATTGTTGTACGTCCCGCCCATACTGTTGCAAAAGTGATTAGCGATATTAAAACACAATATCGTTACGATAGTTTTGAACTAGTCCTACAACCGATAGCAGCCGATAAAGATTTGGTAAATTTGCAAAAAAACACCTATCTCTAGAAAATCACAACACTAATATTTCCTTCAATTTGTTTTAGGTTTATTTAAATGACCGTAAAACGGAATTAATTTATGAGGTGGAAGGTTTTGAACCAAATGAAAAAAATAATCTAATACTCATACCCCAAGGTAAATGGAATGGTGATATCAAGGAACGTTATGAACTTGGAAAAACCATAAAAAAGCCCTTGACAAATGGTATTTGTAAACAAACAAAAAAGAGTTCGCCATCAAAAACTGTGGTCAAAGAACAAAAACAACAAGAAGAAGAACAACAACAACAAGATTCTGTAGACACAGTAGATTTTGTTAGAACTACAACAACATCAAGTGAAATATCTTCCCACATTGAAGAACAAACAAATTACACAATTGGCAAACAACAACGCCAACAAAGTTTAGAATCAAAAATAACAACTACAATATTACCAAATTCTGAAAGCACAACATTGTCAAGGGAAACTTCTGCTCACATAGAGGAAGAACAGGTGAATTATAAAATTGCCAAACAACAAACACTGGAATCGGAGACTATCAATACTCCATTGGTCAATTCTGAAAGGGTAACAGAAAAACAAACAATAAGGGAGGAACTTACTCTAAACACCTCAATTCCAAACACCAACACCACAACAACAACATCTAATGAAACACAAATCACAACAAATTCTCCCGTAATATCCGAAGAAGTTATACGTTTCAGTAACACCAGCATAACAACATCAATAATTCAAGAATCCTCGGAGGAAAGCTATAAATCGATTGAAGAAAAAACAACAACCATTGAAATGTCGACGGATTGTGGTAAGCCCTTGGCAGGGGCGGAACTAACAACGGAAACAGTTACAGTTGCTGCTCCTAAAGTTCTCAAAAAAAGTTCACCATCAAAAACTAAAAAATCTACTGAAACCACAGAGGATGGTGGTGCCACTACCACAGTTGTTGTGGTTAAGAAAACAACGAAAGTTAAAAAATCCGAAGAAACGAATGGAGATGGAACAACAACAAAAACTACGGTTAAAAAGAAGTCACCATCAAAATCAAAGGCAGCGTTGGCAGAAGCTGGTGCCACGGGGACAACGGTTGTTAAAAAGATAATCAAGGTCAAAAAGACAAGTTCACCAACAAAAACCAGCAAAACAAATACTACGGAATCGACATCTGAATCGACTACCACAACAACAACAACGACTTCATCTACTACACCCACAACTGAGGAGTCGCAAGTAGTAACAACAACGGTACCAAAGCCACCTCCCATACCACCACCACCGCCTCCACCAGCCACACCATTATCCCCAGCCCAAACGGTTCCTGTCAAAACCAAAACCGTTATAAAGAAAAAGATTGTGAAAAAAGTCAATGCCATCGAACGCAAGGAAAATGTCGAACAAGATAATACGGTCAGTACAACCGATAGCAAAGAATCCCCAGCTGAAAACTCAAATGGCGCCGAAGATCACGACACTGGGCTATCACCACCCTCGTCAATGACCACCGTTACAAATGCCACTAATTCGGATTCATTAAATTTGAGTCCCATGTCTGAACCAGATCCCTTATCCGATGATGATTTAGCTTTAGGTGCCTCAGCCAGTCCCACAGAAACCGAACCAATGCAATGTAGTGGTGATCTGTCATTGGATGCTACAGCCACTGCGGGGTCCACATCAAATTACAAAATGAATTTCAACAATGACAGTGCGGCTGTGCCATTTAAATTACGACCACCCATGGAGGCATTTACTGCCATTGCACCGCCCACCAATAATGGCTATGTTGGTTTGGTAAATCAAGCGATGACGTGTTATTTAAATTCACTGTTGCAAGCTCTGTACATGACCCCGGAATTTCGTAATGCTTTATATCGCTGGGAGTTCGATAATGACAATGAGGCCAGTAATATACCCTATCAATTGCAAAAATTGTTTCTAAATTTACAAGTAAGTATTGAAGAAATATTTGTGTAAAATTTCAGTTGCCTTAATTGTTGGTGATTTTTAAAAATGGAGAATCTTCTGAAAGTACAAATAAAAATAGTCAACTCCAAGTTATCAAAATGATTATCCTATGTCTGTAAACGAAATTCTAATTTAACATATCCCTTTTACTCTCCTTTTATTTATTTTCTGCTAGACATCGAAAAAATCTGCAGTGGAGACAAATGATTTGACCCACAGCTTCGGTTGGACTTCATCCGATGCCTGGCAACAACATGACATACAAGAATTATGCCGTGTCATGTTCGATGCATTGGAACATCGTTTCAAAAATACCAAACAAGCCAATCTTATTTCAAATTTATATGAGGGCAAAATGATTGACTACGTCAAGTGTCTCGAATGTAATACGGAAAAGACGCGAGCCGACACCTTTTTGGATATTCCACTGCCCGTAAAGCCATTTGGTAGTCAAGTGGCCTATGGCAGTATTGAAGAGGCCTTAAGTGCTTTTGTCCAGCCCGAAACATTGGATGGCAATAATCAATATTTCTGTGAGAAGTGTAACAAGAAATGTGATGCCCACAAGGGTTTGAAATTTAAAAATTTCCCCTATATTTTGACTTTGCATTTGAAACGTTTTGATTTTGATTATACAACCATGTTTCGCATTAAACTAAATGACAAGTAAGTGACGCAAAACTTAGTAGTACAAATATTGGACATTAATTTGTTGTTGTTTTTTTTTATCCTATTTCCAACAGAGTTACTTTCCCGCAAATTTTAAATCTCAATGGTTTTATTGAGTCCACGAATGAAACAACGCCAACGACCGAAGCTGCCACACCTAATTCAAATGGTGTCGATGATTGTAGCACCACAGACAGTGGCTCAGCCATGGACATGGAAGATAATTGGAGTAGCGGTGTGGTGACCACGGCCAGTTCAATAACCCAAAACGAAACGGATATCAATGAAGACGATTTGGATGATGGCATCGATATGCACTCCAATACGGAAAATAATCGTAATCGTGTCAATAGCGAGCAAAATATTAAACAGCATTTGAGTGGACCATTTACCTATGAATTATTTGCGATAATGATACATTCGGGTAGTGCATCGGGTGGTCATTATTATGCATACATTAAGGAATTTGACAATAATGAATGGTATTGTTTTAATGATCAAACTGTATCACCGGTAAGTAATTCCATTTAATATTGGAGATCATATGTAAAATAATAATTAATAGATTATGATGTAAAATTTTTGAAAATCTTTAAATGTAGTTGCTTTAGCTTATTTAAAATGTAATGAAAATGTCGAAATCTGCACTTTTAAAATCTTGTGAAGAAAATAGTGTTCCAAACGGTCGAATGCGATATAAAATTTTATAGGTTACAAAATTTTCGTGAAAGATATTACTAGCATAATTCAATGTTGTTTGTTCTCTTAGAAAAAATAAATATTTACTATTCCAACTTATACAAATAGGTATTCTTTCTTATTTCCCCACCTAACAGATTACCCAAGAAGATATACAAAAATCATTTGGTGGTGGCATTGGTAAAGCCTATTATTCCAGTGTGTACAGCTCAAGTACCAATGCGTACATGTTAATGTATCGACAAATCGATGAGAAACGCAATGAAAAATCTATGAAAGCCGATGAATTCCCCGAACACATTAAAAAACACTTGGAAAAGCTAAAGGAGGAGGAAGAAAATCGTGTTACACGCGGCAGCTATCGCCATCGTCCCATCACCGATCTGCCATTAAATGAACAAATCAAACCCCGCGTCTATTTCTATAATCCACAATTGAAAAAATTGAAAATGACCCGCGTTTATGCTTCACAAAATCTCGACCTAAATGCTGTCCTAGAATCGGCCTATAGCATGTTGTCGGTGCAAGATTTTGCACCCAAAACTCATTGTCGTCTTGTCGGCTATGATCCACCGGCAGAGAAAATTATACGTTCCTTTGAGAATGATAAGAACCTGTCGCTGACCGAGATTCGGGCAAATAGTGAAGATCCAGTGGAATTCCTATTGGAATATCGTACCGGTGATCAGCAGTTTGAAATTTATGAACCGGGTGGTACGACATGGTACGTTTTTGTTGTCAAATTGAATACCATGGAAATGGATGGTCCCTTCTTTGTGTACTCAAATACATTTGAGAATAACGAGGTGCTGCGACATTCAATAGCGGTGCGTTTAAATCTTAAAGAGGAGGAAATAATGGTGGCCACCACCCAACGTTACAAGAAGGCATTTGTTAGCTGTGACATTGCACCCTCAAAGGAAGCCCAACAGCGCTTGGAAGACCTGGCCCGTTCGCAATTCAAAGATGTTACCTATATGTATGTAAATGTGCCGAATACAGATCCCTCAAATTTGGAAATTGTTGGTATACCAACAGAAGAGTTGGTGGCCGAAGAAATCCCGTCCAATGGCATTGATTGCAGCAATAAGCTGTCGAATGGTTTCCATCACGAATCCAATTCCGAGGACAGCAGTTTAAGTGATGGTGATCGCACCCTAGTCGAAAATTTACATCAACGTAGTAGCAGTAGTGTCGGTGGTGGTGGTGCTGCCGCTGTGACTGGCACATCTACCAGTCTTGGTGGCGGAGGCGATAGTCAAATATCTAGTACTAGTCACTCTCCTCAACTATCAAGTCCCGAAGATGAAAACAATCACGAGTCGCTTAATCGCATCAATGCCTACTACAATAGCTTTTCACACAGTGGCGGTGACAATTGTGATGCAGATGCTCCATCAGCAGCATCACAACCATCACGATTTTTCCATGCCATTAAATTGGATGTTTTGGACACGGTGACCGTTTCCACCAAACATCAGTATTCCGATTCAACAGATGGTGCTGATGAGACGGCACGTAAACCCGTTGTCTCCTACAAGATTTTGGTAGATTCACACATGAAGTTAAGCAAATTTAAAGAACATCTAGCCCATTTAATTAAAGTTCCAGAAAACTATTTTGAGATCAATCGAAAACACGACAAGAGTTTGAAAAGTCTTATGAATCAATCGCTGGTCTATTTCAGTGAGGGTGAAACCTTGTCTGTGGAATTGGGCAAAGAATTGCAGGAGGGTGAACACAAAGCCAAAATCTATTTTATGCGTCTGTCCGATCTGACCAATGATACAGCCCGACTGCCATGTGTATGTGAATGGATATACACGGACTCAATGAAAGTGCCGGCAGCCAAGGCGGCACTGATAAACAAATTGCAACGCATTGATCCCGTCAAATACAAGACATTAAATATGAGCAATTGTCGTTTGTGGCTAAAGGGTGGACGTAGTCCCATAAATATATTTTCCGATGATGATACGATCGGCTGTGAAATAAGGTCATCCTCAGCGATTGAAGTAAGTTTTAGTAACATACAATGAAATTATTTTTTATAATTAAATAAAATGGTTTTTATAGTTTTTCGTACAAGAATGCGAGGATGGCGTCCAACCACAGGTTTCTAATACCAGTCTAACGATATTTGTACGTCATTGGCATCCGGATACCTTGAAATTAGATAAATTCCAAGAAATTACTTTAGAGAGTAAGTACACGGTGTTTGTTAGTTTGAAAATTCAAATTAAAATTACCATAAATTTTATGTTTTATTTGTTTTTCTTACAGAGGACAGTGAAATACGCAGTGCTTTATCCAAACTTTCAAATATACCTGCAGATAATATTGCATACACAAAGGTAAGATTTGAATTTAGAGACTCAGTGTTATGATTAATGAATATATTGGAGATTTTTTTAACTATATTTCTCCTCCAATATTAGGCATGTATATTTCAAAAAGTGTGTTTATGTAAAATATTTGGCAAGGACTTTTCAAGAACTTTTTGAATGATAATAATTCTTAAGGATTTTTTTATATAAAAATATGTTTAAATAAAATATTAGGCGTGGATGTTTTAAAAAATATATGTTTGAAAGAAAAATCTTATGCGTGGACTTTGTAACAAAAAAATATTTTTGAATGAAAAGTTAGGCGTTTGTTTTGTAAAAAAATGAATAAAAAACTTCGGAATAAGACATCAACTGCGCCAAGATTTTATGGGTTACCCAAAATTCACAAGGATGGTACCCCTTTGAGACCTATATGCTCCACAATTAACTCCCCAGCTATCGATCTTTGTAAATATATGGTCAACATATTGAAGAACCTGACAAAGAATTCGCAATATAACGTAAAAGACGCAAAAGATTTTAAAACAAGAATTGAGCACATAAAGATCAACCCCGACGAAATCTTAATTTCATTTGACGTTGTATCACTTTTCCCTAGCATACCAGTAAATTTTGCTCTCAACACCATAGAAGATAAGTGGGATACAATTAAAACATATACATCTATGACAAAAGAATTGTTCATGGAAATTCTGACGCTATGTATAAAGGACACAAGATATTTCATATATGACGACAAAATATTTAAACAAAATAAAGGTATGCCTATGGGCTCTCCAGCCTCCCCTGTCATAGCTGACATAGTTATGGAGAAATTGCTGGACTCATCAATTCAGAGAATGTACACAAAACCAAAGATTTTGACCAAATATGTGGACGACATTTTTACAGTCATGAAAAAAGACGAAATAAAGGATAATTTGGACATCTTGAACTCATTCAACTCTCAAATACAATTTACTATGGAACTTGAAAGCAACAACCAATTGCCATACCTGGATTCACTAGTGATACGAAAAGGACCCCATCTCAAACTTGACTGGTACCAGAAACCTACAGCGTCGGGACGACTGATTAACTTTACATCTAGACATCCGAGAAGAACAATAATCAACACTGCATCCAATTTCATAAATAGGGTTTTAGACATAAGCCATCCAGACTATCACAACAAAAACATTAATATAATTAAGAAGATCCTGAAGAAAAATGATTTTCCGGACAAAACTATTGACAATCTCATGATACGAGCAAGAAAAGAAAATACAAAGAAAACAAGCGACAACAGCGAGAAAATTTACAAAACTATGACATATACACGTGGGTTTTCAGAAAGATTAAAACATTCTAACATTTACGACAACACAAAATTTGAGCTGGCATTTAAAACTACAAACACGCTGAATAATCTTTTCAGCAAATTAAAAAGTAAAATACAAGACGAGGAGAAATCCAACGTAGTATACCGCATTAAATGTAAGGGAGACAAGTCCAACGTATGCCAAAAGGTATATGTTGGCACTACTAAGACAAAATTAAAGACAAGAATATCCGCACATAAATCGGATCAAAAAGCTCTGTACAAACCCATAGAGCAAAAAACAGCCCTTGCAGCACACTGCACAAAAACAGGACATACCCCAGATTTTAATGACATAAAAATTCTAACTCAAGAAAGTAATTATCAAAAAAGGTTTACTCTTGAGATGTTGCACATAATCAACACTCCACTTGACACTCGACTCAATTATAAAACCGACACAGACAACTGCGCTCAAATCTATAGACACACAGTAAACAAATACAAATCTGGTAGACTTTAGTTGAAGTAAGAACGTTGACTTAAAGACAACATAACTTTCTTCAAGTAAGTTTATTTACATATTGTTATTGTTGTTTCAAAATCTGTTAAAATATATGTAATTGTAGTTCCCTGAGGATGATTGGAGAATCCAATCGAAATATTGGAAACAATAAACATTAAAAATCAAAATTAGAAACGATTTTTACTTTTAAAAAGCCTACAGCCGAACTAATACAACAAAAATTAATTAAAATAAAAAATATTTCGGTGATTATTTATACTCTTTCGATTCGAGCTTAATGATTTAAGTTTTGCAATAAAAAGGAAAGAATAACGTACGTACCCACCATCCGTTGGTTAAGTGGCTCATCAGGCATATTGGGCTATGTGGCTTTACAAAGGTCGTATGTTGATAACTTGTATTTATTTCGGCCTAATGCGAAACTTGCATATGCGAATTAAATTCAAATTTGTCAAGGTTCGACATTTGTCTTCATTATTTTCAAAGGAGATTTTTGTTGCGATGGATAATTAATCCACTACAATTGCTTTGCGCAACCGTTTTGGAAGTGTATTAATGGCTCAGAACGTTAAGTGGCCTGGCAACATTTGTTTTGCTCTGAGGACTGAAGTTCGAGCCAAGCTCAGCCGAATTAATTTTTGTTATTTGAATTTTGCCTTATAATGGCAGTAATAATTTGAAAGTAATTTTTAAGTGATTATACTCTTTCGATTTTTTTAATATATTTCAATTAATTTATTAGACTTGGAATTTGTTTGAAAATATATATTTTTACTTGTTTCCAGGTAAATGGACATTTTCCATACACAAATGTGTCTCTGCTCACCATCAACAGTGCAATGAGCTGGTTTGCCATACCAGCTACCTTGGAAAATTATCCATTATCCAGTACGGTTAGTGGTAATTTGTATTTCTACAAGTAAGTATTTTATTCAAAATTATAAATATTAAATGCCATTAAAAACAAATATCTGTTTTTTATTATTACAGAGATTCAACGGTTGAACCCAAGGAACTAACACCCGAAGAGCGAAGGGAAATGAATGCCAAGGAAAAAATACGATTGGATAATTTGGGATGTGTTTCATCGTCAACGTCACGCTATTCTCGTCGTCAGGAACGTGCTTTAAAAATTTACTTGGACAGTCCAACAACAACCGCCTCTCCACCCGTTGATGCCAACAGTTCAATGGCTGATGATATTTAATGGGTTTTTGCTCATTTGTTGCTCTGCCAAAAATGGGGGGAGAGCTACGCACACACACACAAAGGCCAGGAAAATGTAGCTTCTATACTCAGTGATGATGATAGACGTAACGTGTTTCTTTTCGGAAACGTTAAATATATTCTTCAGCTACACCTTCACTTTTCACACTCTTGTCACAAAGATAGTGGCCACCTAACAACAAGCCAACTAGCTAATGTCTTGCGTGATGTGAGATTATCTATCAACAACAACTACTAAAAAAGCAACCACAACTTTATATTAAATCAAGTGTTACTTATTACTACGTTACTTTTATATTAAACAAAAACACACAAACAAAGAACAACAACAGAAAAAGCCCTAAAAAACTTTGAAAAACAAAATTATTCTTTATATAGAACATCAGAGAAAAGGGCCCAGAGATAAAAAAATATGAATATTAAACACATGCTAATTCGAAAAAAACACAGCCGGTTATATAGCATCTAGATCTTTTTCTGCTCTAATATAAGAAAAGCAAAAACAAGTGTTTATTTTTTTCATTTTGTAGTCAGATTTCAAAGAATTATTATATTAAAAAAAACTATTGAGCGACATGTTTTTCTTAGGACAAATTATATATAAAAAAAGAAAAAAAAAACAATATCAAATTATATAAATAATGAAAGAAATGCAATTTGTTTTCTTTTTTGTTTGAATTTCTTGTTTTCGATTCATTATTTTGATTTATTTTTTTCCTTCATTCAGTGCCTAATGTTTTTTATACAAATGCACACACATATACACATATTAACAACAACAACACAAACAAACCACAGCAATACACACATCCTTACTCACACAAATCTCTATATTTTCTTCTTTTTCTTCTATAATATCATTAATGAGACTGTTTAAATAAGTAAACAACAACAAAAAATAATAAAAACAAATCTGTAATAAAATATCGAAACGAAAATCAACTTATCATTGTTTGAATGCTGCTTACCACCAAACTAAAAGCAAATTAATGCTTCTTCTTCTTTTAGTAGTCTTATAGGGTCATAACTATTCCGCTTTGTTTAACATATTGGTTATCATTAAAAATTGTTGGTAGCTTCTTAAAAAAATGTAACAGGAAGGGGTATTTTTAATGGCTTTACTAAACTAAAGGCGTGGATATGTTAAATGGATATATATCATAGGCTTGACCTTTTAAAGGCCCTAGTATCCATAGATTTTTAACGAATGTTTATAATATCTTTGTGGATTATAATTTGCTTGTTGAAAGTCACAAAGTCCAATTTGTTTAAGGACTATTTATAAGTGTCCTTTTGAAGGTGACCAGTTTTTATACGAATATTTTTAAAGAGCCTACTGGAAGCGTGCCTTTTTAAACGAAACGCGTTAACTAGTTAAACACGTTAACTGCCACTTCACCCGTATTCGGGTGACAGCTTGGACAAAAAGTAGTGAGTTTTCTGAGATTTACGCGGCAAAGATTACAACTGCTCGTGCAGAGTAATAACGTGGTAAATGAGGATCGTAATAGATATCGGGGTGAGAGTACCGAAAGAAATGTAAACAGACATGCGGTAGCAGAGCACGCATCTTACAGTGGCACGGGTGGCCTGACGAGGATTTTGTTGTAAACACGCGCGGCAGTCAACGTGTTAAAGACCTTGGTGTTTTGTTACCTACCTAGACCTATTTTGCTTTCAATTTTTAAGGAACCTGTTAAAGAAACGAACGAATATTTTAAGGGACTATTTAGGGCGTGGATTTTTCATTTATTTATTTTTTTGTTTGTCTTTGATATTTTTAAGGGTTTTTTGGTTTTCTTCAAAAATATTTACTTCTATTCTAAATTCAACCTATCGAGTCTTCATTTTTGATAAGAAAATTAAAATGAAAAATTAAACCAATATTTTTGTATAGAGTTTCGACTTAAATGCCGAATTTTTATTATTTGTAAATTACATTACATTTTTTACAACAAATATGAGCTGACTTGAATTTTGAATTTATAGTACACGATTTAAGTGCCTTAAGGGCTGCCTGACTATCGACATATAAAGTCACTGGCCTTACATTGTACGCAGTAAGTATTTTGGCTATTTCAGGGGCTTTCATGATTGCTAGGATTTCTGCGTGAAAAATTCTACAGAGATCGTTAAGTTTAATTCCTTGCAGTAGACACCTGCACTAGTGCCTTCCTCCATCTTCGATCCTGAATTGTCCATATTCTTCTGAATTTGTCCAATCACTTCATGTAAGGCAGTATCCCCAGATTTGCCTTCGATATAGACATGTTGGGATTTGCTAATCTTGTTCAAAGAGTTTGTATTCCTAATTTCAAGGCCTAGGTCTCGTAACCTTTCTAGTGTCTTGAGTAGAAAGCAAGAAATGCTAATCGGCCGATAGTCCTTAGGTTGCATGAGACTCGGCTTGCGGGATGAAGGCCACATTTACCGCTTTAAATAGACTATGTATGTACAATAAAATCAGACAAAACTAAAAATCCCTTTGTAGTCTGACCAACACACAAGATAATCTGGCCCAGGAGTTTGTAGGGCTGAAAGCTTTTTATTTCCTATACGAGTTGATAGCTTATCGCATCTTCTATCAGATTCTTCTCCTTCTTCATTCACACCATATTTCGGCGTGTATGTTGCATATAGTCATTTTTATATATACAGGAAGTGATTTCCAAGGTTACCGGTCATTCAAATGATGACTGTATTTTCTTGACAATCCTTCGGAGGAAAACATTGGTATTCCTAAAAAAAAAATAAATAAAAACAAAATCAATTATTAGAAAAAAATTAAGTTTTTTTAAATAAAAAAAATTTTTGTGTATTTTGTCTCAGCTCTCATAATCTTACAATCTTTGGATGTTGCCCAATATCTAGCTAAAAAATTACGCCAATTTGTTCTGCTTGGAATATGCAAAAAAAACGGAAGCAGTTTTTCTCTTTACACAGAAGAAAAAAAACTACTGTTGTTTCAGCTTTCTATTAGGCAAACTCTCCTCAAGCGCTGTTTTTTAATCATGGACAATTTTTTTTATAAAACCTAATGGGAAATTTGATACGTACTTTATTAATCCAGGAACTCGATGTGTCCAAATTCAATATTCTGAAAATTAAAAGAAAAAACAATTACTTTTTTAGTAAACAATCTTTTTTAAAGTAGCCAAATACAAATTAATTTCGTTATTTTGTCTCAGCTCTCATAATCTTACAATCTTCGGATGATGCCCAAAATCTAGTTAAAAATGACGCCAATTTGTTTCGCTTGAAATACGCGGAACAAAAGGAAGCAGTTATTCTCTTTACACAAAAGAGATAACCACTGTATTTTCAACCTTCAATTAGGCAAACTATCCTCAAGCGCTGTTTTTTAATCAGGGACAAAGTTGTGATATGTTATTGTGTTAGTTAAAGGAAATTTTATACGTACCTTAACGACCAAAATTCTATATAGAGCAAATCCTATATCCTGAAAATTAGAAAGAAATAAAAGAAATTATTAAAGACCGTGAGAAATTTTTAAAAGCTTGGTTGCAAATTATATTTCTTATTTTGTCTCAGCTCTCATAATCTTACAATCTTCGGATAATGCCAAATATCGTGCCAAAAAATACGCCAATTTGAACTCCAAGAAAAAAGGCGAGAACAAACGGAAGTTGTTTTTCTTTATACACCAAAGAAATAACCACTGTATTTTTAGCCTTCAATAAGGCAACAATCCTCAAGCGCTATTTTTTAATCAGTGACAAAATTGTCATACAACATCAAAGATCCATTTATACACACCTTTCACATCGGTATTAATAACGTGTGACCCCAATTCCAGAGGTGAAATTCCTTGGCCGCATTGAATCCAGGAACTATTGAACTGGGTCGAATTCCGATTATTTTCGCATTACATTATTGAAAAATTTTGTTTTCTGTAATAAAATTTAAAAAAAAAATCTACCATATCTTCTACTTATTTTTCTAATTTCTGTATCATTTTAAATGACAGTCTTTATAAAAACAAAACTTTTCTTAGTTTTCTTTAGTTGTTTAAAGATTTTTTTATTATTTAGTTTAGCGTTTCTCTTTTTTTAATTATTTTCAATAATTTTGGAAAAAACGAATTCATCAAACTCAATTAATAGACAATTTTTTGAAAATTATCTCATTATTTTTGTCATATCCTTCATGCGATATGATGTATATGTGTTAGGGATGGGGTGTTGTGTGGAGAATCTGTGAAACGCACATACAGCCTGTATGTGTTTTCCTCCTACATACAAATATTTTGTTTTTGTATTTTTCTTTGTTCTTATTTAGATTTCATTGTCCGCGTAATGAATTTATAATTCTATTTACTTGAATAAAATATATAAAAATTATAAAATATCTTTCGAATAAAGTAATAATAAAAAAATGTTGATAAAATACATAATTTTGAGGGGGGAGTTTTAAAATTGATTTGACTCAATTATTTTTGTGGGGTAGTTAACAATTTTAATAGATCCTCTATGAATGCGCTATTGTTGTAACGGGTTTCTTGTTTTCTTCTGTATGTAATACAATATGGAATATTCTCCTTAGGTTATAGGGCCTGTAGAACATGGAGAATACTTTTTTTTTGTTTTGGTAAATATTTTTCTTGTTGAATGTGTATTGATTGCTGAATTTTTTATTTTATTTTGGGGATTGAATGTTGATAGTTGTTTGATGTTCTCTAAAAGTTCACATTGCAAAAGGCAGTAGTAATACGACGATTTGAATCATTTCAGGCCTTGGTCTCTACGGCAGCTGGTGCGTTAGCGGCAGCATCTGTTCCAGCAGGGGCAGCTTTTTTCTTAGCATGGCCTTTACCCTTTTTAGTGGGTTGTAAGGGAGTGGCAACAAGTTCTTTAAGTTCGGGTTGCGCTATGCTATGTTCACTAACAAAGTTCTCTGTGGCAAAAGGTATACCAGTGACCAAGTTAACACCGTTGGGCATCAGCAAAACTGTGTGTTTGAACTGGGCCACATATTCGCCTGTAAAAAATGAGGGGAAGAATAGAAGGAATGTTTAGTAAGTGGGTTTTATATATTTGTTTACACCTATATAAACATTTATATATATTCTTGTATATAACTAGAAACTTCAATCGAACTCGAAAAATTGATTACCAATTCGACAGATTTCTTATTAGAAAATTTACTCTAGCAAGGTGTCTGGCCGCAAAGGCAATTGATTTGTGCACAAATACGGAATTAAGCCTCGCATATTAATGCCAGTAGTAAGTAAAACAAATAAAAATCAAAGTTATATTTAGATTGCTATTTTCAGATATCTTATAACTTATGTCCATTAAAATACTTTTTTATTTTTTGTTTTTGTTAAGAAACTTCAATTGAATTCGAATTGTGGAACCAATTCAATAGATTTCCCAGCAAAAATAATTATAAAATTATTTTCTATAGCAGGGTGTCTGGCCGCAAAGGCAATTGAAAGGGTGCACAAATACGGAATTAATCCCCGCAGATCTAAAAACTAATTTGAAATTCCAATACAAAAAGTGTACTTACTTGGCTTTTCGTACAAAACTTGGAAGGGTTCAATCATCTTGTGTGACATACATTCAACAACACCCATGCGTGCTTTGGTTTCCTCGTCGAAACCGCGAATATTGAAGGGCATGTTACCGTATTTCGTTTTAACCTAATTAAGGGAGAAGTTAAATAAAAAAAACGAAAACAACAATATGTTAATAAACAATAAAAAATAAAAGATAAAATCATATTTGTATGTTTGTTATGTCTCAGATCTCATAATCTTACAATCTCTGGGTTTCAGCCAATTGCACACCGAAAAAATACGCCACTTTGTTTGGGCCCATATCGAAGGCAAATAAACAAAGGGAAAAGATTTCAGTGTCCAAAACACAGAGGACAGAAACCTTTGTATTTCTTTTGGTATTTTATCGGCATCCTACCCTCAAGCGCTAGTTTTTAATCATTGACATAAGGATATTGGTATTTTTATTAATTTTTTTGTATTAGATTTTCTTACCTCAGCCAAAAGAGCACGAGATGTTTTCAATTTAAGCATATAGTTTTCATCGGTCTTCTTGTAAATTGACACCTTGGTATCCTTTTCCCGGCCGATACCTTCACCCGTGCTAACAATAACATCGATGGCATAAACTTCGTGGGTTTCAAAAGTGCACTTTTCATGTTCCTTGCGTTGAGCCTCGCTTGGATTTTGAATGATAGTCTTTTCACCATCGATTTTGAATTGTTTCAATTCATGACTGAGCATACCCTCAATGGGTTTGCACTTGTATGATTCACTGATTTGTTGTACGGCATCGGTAATGGCATAGTTCTATAGAAAAATAAAAGATAGGTAAAATCAAATATTGATTTGCATTGAGTATAATCTAAGGGGTTTGAGTGACACAACAATCAATGAACTAGCGATAAGATGAAGAAGGGATTCGAAATTTTAGAAATAATCAATATTATGCATGATACGGTATGTTAACAATAATACACTTCTTCATTGGTCATTGCTATTACCTATTTAGCTATATATTTGCATAAAACGTTTTCGGACCTATAAAACCTCATAGGTAATAATGGTAGCTAATGTGTATCCATTCGAAAGGAAGACATTTCGTTTTACACACCCTTTTGTCTTATTTCTTTCAAATTGCTTATTTTTTTTCTATGCAAGTGTTGAGATGTTTTCAATAGATGTTATAAATTAAAAACAATCCGTTGCTTGCAAATCTAAGCTATACTATCCATTTTGTTACATCAAGTAAATTTGTATCCATTTTTCAAAGCAACAATTTTCAGAAAATCGAAACAAGTTGCAGTATGCTATAACGGAAATAGTGTTGATCTATGCAAGTGTTGAGATGTTAACAAAGGTAGAGCAATTGTTAACAATCCGTTGCTTGCAAAAAGAGGAGCAGTTACAATGTGAACTAAGAAATGCACAATCAAATATTTGTTTCCATCTTTCAAAGTAACAATTTTATTAAATTTACAAAAAATGCTACAGTATGCAACAATGGAATAAATTTATTAATATATGCAAGTGTTGAGATGTTAACAATGGTAAGGCTATTGGTAACAATCCGTTGCTTGCAAAAAAAAATAACATTCCATATAAAATTATAATTAAATTATAGCCAACTTCATTGATGGCCTTTTTTAATGTAAAAAGGTCGTTTTAATATCAACAGGCTTTATTGTTGTATGCAAGTGTTGAGATGTTTCCAATGGTTTGTGTGATTGAAAACAATCCGTTGCTTGCAATTGTGGATGTGGAAAATGAAAAGAAAATAATATTGTTTCATTGTTCGAAATAAAAAAATCGCTATATCCCAGAGAGAACGAATCTTGAAAATATATATTTTTTGGGGATGAATATTTTAAATCGGGTAAACTATACCAAACTAGCATGTATAATCAACATCTATCTTTGATTTTGATTGATCTGATTTTCGAGCTACAGTGGGAAACGTATTTAATTATGACATTGCGACTAAAACGCTTCTCCAGTTTAAATCTACGTACAAACAACTAAACCGGTTCTAATTTTATATATAGCTCAAGAATTTTTTGTCCCATTAAACTATTTACAAAATATTCTATTCTATTAATTTTTAAAATTATAGTTTAAATAAACCCATAGCGGACGCAAAAATAGCCGAAATGTTATCAGATAAGCACGAAACGAAAAAAAAAATAAATAAAAATTTAAAAGTTGAATGCTATAGCATTCACGTCATTTTTCATCAATGTGAAAATGAATACTATAGGATTAAAGCCACGTCTGTGAATGTGTTAATAAAATGTATGTCGAAAAAAAATAAAATTTGTTTGTGTTTTGCCTTAAGGAAATCGGCGCATTTAAAAATATCCTAACGAAGACATATTCTTATTTCTAAAATGTGATATTATTTTCGCTAGAGTAATTAAATGCTGAACAGAAAGAAAACTCACAATTTAAAAAAAATAAATTAAGGTTATTTATATTAAACTTACATTATTTCCAGATTTAAGAAGCCTTAAGGCAGCTTGAACGGCCCAGTAGGCAGCCAAAGTAACATCAGCTTTACGTCCTGTAACTTTGTTTTCAGCCGAAGCTCCAACAATGACTGTATGAGCTGCAACAGCAATGAAGCCATCAATATGGGCACCCAAATCACTAAAAAATTTTATAAATAAAATATTAAAATGAGATTTATAATCAATCATTTATTCTTATTAAATTCAACTATTGATATTTTTTGATTTGATTTTAAAAAAGAATATTGGGCTTAATTTGATGCCCGATCGCGAATATTTTTTACAATATTATTATGTTCTTCTGCGGAAGTCCATGGAAAATATTAACTTAAATATTATGGGCTAGAGTTTGAAGCGGTTCGGATGGATATCTCTTTTAAAATTCTTTTCGTCAACTTAGACTTTGAAATATTGTTTAGAAACACAATATGGTTTTATTAAAAAAAAATATTTATATGTAAATTAAAACCCCCTAATTTACTAGTAGAAAAATTTACTTACATTTTGACAACATCACCATCCTTCAATTCATAATCGGGATCATTTTTGGACGGAGAAAAGTGGCATACACAATTATTAACAGAGAGGCAGGTGGGGAATGCAATACCTTTTTTCAGATCCTTTTCTTTTTTGTAGACCTAATAGTAAAATTCAAATAAGTACAATGTTTCATGTTGCAAAATATCAACAATACCTTGCTTGTTTCTTCGGTAAGAAGATTATCAGACTTTGTGCAAATATCTCTTACAGATGCACCGGCTACACAGAGATCAATGACAGCCTTTAATGTTCCTAAAGAAAACAAAAAAGATTTTCAAATTTTAATTACCAGTCAATAACCAGATTATCAGTTCATTAACAATAACTGCTATTGCGTGGCAGTGCAGTTTGCTATGGTAGGCAAACAAAGCACAACACAACAACCAAACCAAGCCACGTTAAATGAATGTACGTAGCATTTTATTTTCTCGAAATGCCGATAGTATCTCGCGCTAACAAAGAACAGCAATTGCTTACAATTTTAAGGGATAGAACATCCACAAAAATCCTGTTTAAATTTGAATTATTTTTTTTTTTTTAAAACGTTTGACCACACGCAAAGGCACCGACAGGGCAGGCTACAACACTACAACAACAGACCGCCTTATTACAATTATTAAGGTTATGTTTCATTTCATCTAACGGCAGAAGCGCCGCGTGGCTTTCGCTTTCACTACAGCACACAATGCGAAGACGACGTCGAAACATTTTTTTTTAGCATAAGCGTAATGTAATCGCAAAGAATCATGCAAGCACATTTAGCATCTTTGGCGCTGGTATGTATGACCATAGTTTTTGTTGGCCACCGCGGAACTTTTTTTCTTGGTTTTGATTAGCATTATCCTGGATATGTATTTGCCCTCACACGATTACTTACTGTTTACAATTTCGCCCGCCAATTTGTATTTGGTAACAACCAAATCCTCAGCAATGGTCTTCTCTTCTTTTTCAATTTCAGCCATCTTTCAGATTTTTTAATCACAAATATTCACAAAGGGTCTTGTTGCTGGTTAAAAAATTAAAATAACACAAATAATCTTTGCGTGCACCCAATACCAAATACACAGTTGCAGGGCTACCAACTGTAGAGCTGTGTCGTTCCGGAACGATTACTCGTTCTACCATCCACTGTAAGATGATAACTCGTTCACTGTGATATGATTACGGTTGGGATAGTTATTTAGATCGTTTGGTTCATTTAGTTCTCTGTGCTCAATCGAATCCTTTTTTTCGATATGTTTTGAATGTAAGCAGAATGGATTTGTTGCATTAGAATAGCCACATTATATAGTAGTTTAGTTTGTAAGCATGGTACAATAATACAAGGTAACTACAAAACTACAACAACCACATAGAAAATTGTTATTGTATGTAGCACTAATGTAAGTTTGAAACACCGATTTCCGCAAGAAAAAAGGATACAATTGTAATCGGGGCCCCAAGGCCTACATGTGATAAAAGTCTCAAAACGATCCGCGACTAAACTAGACTTGTTCCCGATTAAAAAATGCAAATCATATGGATATTCGTGATGAAAATAACCTCAAAAATTTCACATTGAACAACTAAATGAAATAAATTTAATATCCCTAATTATTATATAGGAAGTGTTCAGAAGAACAAAAATTGGCAAGGGTGTATCTACTATGAAGATGTGTGGCAAATCGGGGTTTTCACAAATTTTAAAACAAATAATTTACGAGAAATAATAATTGTGGAAAGTCCTTGAGATTCAAAGTTGTGTTTGCGAACAAAATATTATACTGCAAATGCATGGAATTGAATTGAAACAAGGTAAATATCGTTTCAATGTATTCTAGAAAAAATACTAAAATATTTTATTACGATATATTTACAGAAATTATAACTATATCCACACAGCTAATATTTCGAATGGGGTCTAAAGCAAACTTAAGGCTCAGTGGTGACATTTTTTGGAAAGAATTCCGCAAGTACTTTTTGGGGCCCTAAATGTAGCGATGTCCACATTTCCCGACACAGAGGCCTTCAAATTTGTCGTAGGTACGTACTCTAATTGGTTTCAATTCCGACCAACACAAATGTGAAATTATTGAGGTCCTGTTTGCAAAACAATACATGCCTCCCAAGAAATATGATTTCGAAGGTTTACTTTTTATGGTCCAGTGTTGGAATTGGGGCAAAATTACTAACATTTCGTCTAGGACCTTAAAAATATATTGAAATAAAAAAATAATAAAATGAAGTTTTTCAAGACATTTGTCTAAATCAGAATTACCACTTGTAGCCATATGGCTTGAAAAATGAGGCGAGAACCATTAAATTACATATATCTATAAAATAACGCGTTACAATTATAAACATTACGGTTGGAATATGCGGCAAGGACCATAAAAATACCTTAAATTATAAGTATGCATAATCTTGAGTGGTATTGTTATATGGGTACTGTATCAAAACATTGTATCCTATTTAAAACACCAAGAATAAAGAGGTTAAAACAATTCGATGTGCAGTTAAAAACAGAATGCTCTTTTTAGCACCTCGAAATATTCGTCGGAGACCACATAATGTATATACAGATATATTTTCCCACAAAAATGTCAATACATATCGTTGACCCTGTATTTATAGCCCCCACATAAGGCTACCGCAACATATAATGGAATTTTAAACATGTTGGCCACAATTTCCAATTGAATTTGTTATTATAGATTTTTGTAGACAGTCTTTCACACCATCGGAAAAAGTTTTGAAGGAAATGTAATCTGTATAACTGTTCGATAACCATCTGAGTTTTGTAGCCCATTTAAGGATTTGGTCATCTCAAGAAAATTTAAATGCAATTCAATTCTTTAATTTAAGAATTTTGGAATTAAATAATCACACAACAAATGTTTGTCTACCAATGAGCATTTAATAATTTAATGACTTTTTCAATTATCCACGAATGGTTTGCATGCAATTCTTTATTTCTATTCAAATCCATCCATTGAACTTTTGCAGCATCATCACCTGCCGATAACTGTAGTTTACCTACTTGTGTTCCCGACTCGTCCTGAAAATTATAGGCTACCGTTTCCATCCAGGCATTATCTGTATTACGATAATCATCAACATAACCTTTATAGACCTCGACGCCTTGGGCAAAAAAATCTTCAATCATTTGTTTATCCTCTAAAATTAGAAAAAAATGTTATTAGAAATATTAAATTGAAATATGATCGAGAACAAAACTCACTAAAACTATCCAATGCTTCTTCCATAAATTCTCGCCGCAATGTGGTGGATACTTTTTCACCAGGATCTACCATGCCACCGGGTATGGCCCACATACCATTGTCACGTCTTTGTATGGCAACCATTTGTAAAATATTCCTGCAAAATAAAAATACAATATAAGTAAATATTTAAAAAAATCGCAGTATTGACCATCCCACAAACTTCTTAGTGTCCTCATGTTTTAAAACACTGCCCTCCGCATCACGTTTCCAGCGAGTAACAATTGGATCAGCAGCATGATTTGGTCCCCATCTACCCAATACGCCACGTCCCTTTAAACCCGTTCGACCCATAGGATTAAGAGGATATCCCTGATCGTCTATAGCATATGCACCTTGAAAGGATACACGATTTACATTGCCATCTAACGAATTCCATTTAGGTTTAAATTGTGAATCTTTTATATCGGGATCTGCCCATACTTGACCGGCAAGTATATGGGCGGACGTATATGTTGGTGGTTTATAATCCAATGGCACATTCCATGGAACACAATTATCCGGAACGGTAAAACGTTTCACATCACTTCGTGGATAAATATTATTACGGCAGGTTGTATGTAAAATCATTGCTGTGAGTAATGTATTCGTTTTGGACATGATTCAATAAAATTATTTGGTTGGCCCACTTTCTATAGGGATAGAAGGTTTAGTGCCATGTATCCGTATGTAGCTTTGCTACGAATTTGATCCATAGATGGTGGTTTGTGTTTTGCAGGTTGACTTCGATCTTCTTTAAGAATTTGACCACAATGTTCAGACTTTCTAAGCCTTGTGTATCAGTGAACTCTTCTACTGTGAAGGAGTCACAAGTAGCGAAAAGCATCTTCTTTTGCTATTAAATTTACGAAAATTAAAAATTTCATGCGCAGCTGTTTGGATTTTGTTGAACGACTCGTAATTTATAGGTTATCCGTATTTAAAAACACACGTGTTAGTTAAGCGAACGCTTAACAACCGCCATTTTGTAAAAATCTATTTTTAAGCCCGTGGGCGTGTAGTACTCATTTAAAATTTTTTTATGTCTTTCTTGTGAGCCGTCCGAGGACGAACTGAATAAAATTATTTGCTTGCAAAATAAATGCTTCTTCTTCTTCTTTTTCGATTTTATAAAGCCAAACGTTCAGCATTCAAAGTGCATTGATAGCATTGTATAAAATTAATTAAATTCTTAATAATTTTAAATGATTTGAAGAATTTTTTACATATTGAATTATTTCGCTTAAATGCAGGCTTATTTCAAATACAGAAACCAGACCCAAAAATGTGAATTTTTAACTAATATTTTGGAGGGGCCATCAGAATCAAAAATCTGGAATAAAAAAGAACGTTTTTAATCAGAGCCGCAAATGAAACCCATTTGAAAAATATTTTTTGAAGAACATTTGAGCCATAATCGTGGATTTTTAAAGAATATAAACGTGGACCGTGATTTAGACGGGGATTTTTAAGAAAGGGAAATTTTTGAGACATCATTAACATACCTATATTGGTGTGGATTTGTTTACCCTTCGCCGTTTGCAACTCCTCGGAATATACATCGGAAATCCCATAAAGTATATACATGAAATCAAGACAAAGCCCCCATATAACAGTATCTCCCAAATGTGGGTATTTTGGGGAGTATGGATTAGTTTTGCAACTTAATTGACTGTAATTTGGCATTTTGGGAAATATGATTACCTCACATTATCTGAATTGGGCCATTATTTAGTGTAAATTCCATTTGGCATTTTAGCCGATTTTCTAATCTAAGCGCCTATAGTTTGGTATTTCATTTTCTTATGGCAGCAATGTACCATGACATAGTCCCCGATCAATTTTTGTTATATTGGTAAAGAGTATTAAAAATTCGAACTATTTTCACTAGTTAACGGTTATTTGTGAGACATCATTGCCTGAATTTTATATTGAGGCATCATTAGAGCTAAAGGGTTTGATTTTTTAAAGACATATTGTTCTGTTTACAGATGGATCTACAAATGGGCTTCATTGCAGCGATCGTATTACTCTTCATCATACAGTTAGTCTTCTAAATTTGTTTTGCAAATAAATAAAATTGTATTTGTTTTTAACTTAATTAAGTGAAATTTTTTCCACAAATAATTTTTCAACATTCGTCTTGAATGAAATAATATTCATAGGTAGGTATATACAGACATGTGTATGTTTCCAGCTACGCCAAGCAAAGCTCCACAAACAAAAATCCCACATTTTTCTTAATGACTAAAATCGTACCTAACAGCGTCTGTAGTTTCTAGCGTTTATGTATGACTATTTTTGTTTTAATTTTTTTTTTTTGGTTTTGTGAACTGAAACTAGTTTTAAATCTTGTCTTACCATAAGACTGTAAGTTGGCAACAGCAGCAACAACAACTACATTAAAATAGTAATATGCGTTACTCGACTGCACTTTTACCCATAGAGTCGACGTCGCCACGAAGAAAAGATGAAAATGCTAAAGATGAAGAAAACGAATAGCAGCAACAGCAACAATAATGTTGTTGCACAAATGAATGAATTTTATTTTTAGTTTCTATTTTTTGTAGTTTTTGGTTAATGTTGTCGTTACTACCACTACCACCACCACCGCCGTCATCATCATCATCATCATCAAAGCTTGTTCATTCATTCAGAAAATTATCTGGTCCGTGGTGTTTACTTCATTCCACTAGACGTTCAGTAGACAACATAGTTTTATTTAATTTCGTTGTTGTTGTTGTTTTTTTATTGTTAAAAAGCAAATGTTTTACTATAAACCATAAATTTAATACGATATGTGTATGCCTGCTCTGCTCTGCTTAACACTTTATAACTGTTGCTGGTGTTTTTTTGTGTTGGTTATTGCTGTTTTTGTTGTTGCTGTTGTCGTCGTTAATGGTTGGTACATCTCTATTATTTGGTAACAGCTTGAATTAATTTCTCTTTGAGCTCCAGACGTATATCATTAAATTGTGGCCATTTGGCTAAATTCACTTCTTCCAAATTGTTAAGACGATGATCATATAGCTCTTCGCCATAAATGATGGACCAATCTACGAGATAAAAAGAAAAAAATAATAATTAAACACAGCATTTCTTGTGACCAGCACTACCATATATTGGATTTTAATACCATAGACAGACGACAGCCTTAATTTGCATTAAAAAGTTCTTAATTTGAATTAAAATTTACCCCTGACAGACGAGAGTTTCTGCATTTATGAACCAGTTTTTTGTTTCAAAACTATTGTTTGTCTGTGTGTAGGAAGAAAATATTGACATTTGTTTACAATATTTTTTAGGATTACATCTTTTTGAAATTGATACATGACAGGAAGGAAAACTAACAGCTATAATGAAGATAAAACAGGTCCAAATTTGAAGAAATTTTGAATTTTGCCTTTATTTCTAATTTTTATTTTCGTAAACGTAAACAAATTTGACAACAATTAATTTATTTTCGACAGCATTGCCATATTGAAATTGCCTAATTCAGTATAAATTCAGTTTGATTTTGTGCATTAACAACACATTAAAATGAGGATAATGTACAAATTAATTTGAATTAAGGCTGTTAATGCAAATTAAGGCTGTCGTCTGTCTAGGCTATAAGGGACCTTCAGAACCAACCACTTGAACTTCTAAAGAATATTTGTTTTAGGGGTCTTCAGATCATCAGAATCAACGATGTGTATTTCTTAAGAACCAAAAGCATTCGATTTAAAATATATATTTGCTGAAGGACCATCAGAGAGCTTTATACCTGGATTTTCAGGAAATTTTTTGGGAGACCATAAACTTAGATTTTTAATGAATATTTTTTTTTTCTTGATGGACATTCAAAATTTTTGACGTGGAGAGGTGTGTTATTTTAATAAAAATTTATTTTAAGAGGACGTAAATTGTTAGAGATGATTTTTTTGAGGGACCACATGTGATGCAGGGGTGGGTTTTTAATGATGCTTTTTGAGGGGCCTTATCAGTTATAGGCGTGGATTTTTAATGGAGATTTTTTTAGGGACCTTATCAGTTATAGACGTGGATTTTTAATGGAGATTTTTTGAGGGATCATATCAGTTATAAGCTGTATTTTTAATGGAGAGTTTTTGAGGGATCATATCAGTTATAGACTTTTTGGGGGATCATATCAGATATATGCGTGGATTTTGAATGTTGTTTGAGGGACCATAACAGATACATATATAAAAATCCAAATATAGACATGGATTTTTATAGAAGATTTTTTGAGTGACCATATCTGATATAGGCGTGGATTTTCAATGAAGATTTAATTGAGGGTCCATATCGATGTGAATTCTTATAAAATATTTTTTTGAGAGACTATTTCGGATATAGGCATGGATTTTTAAATAAGATTTTTTGAGTGTCCATTTCAGACATAGGCTTGGATTTCTAAACAAGATTTTTTGAGGGGTCATATCAAACATATGTAGGCTTGGATTTTTTAAATAAAATTTTTTGAGGGATCGTATCAGTAGGTCTATTCTGTAACTTTTTAACAACATTCGACATTGTTTATTTTACAACAATTTCATTTGTTTGTTTTGTTGTTTTTACAATAACAAAAGAAAATTAAACAATATCGAATGTTGGTAAAATAGAATAGGCCATGACATGAATTTGTAAATATTTTTTTTTGGGACTATATAATGTATAGGCATGGATTTCTAAAAAAGATATAGGCGTAGATTTTAAAAGATGATTTTTTCTTTTTATCTGATATAGGCGTGTATTTTTTAATTAGATTTTTGAGGGACCATATCAAATATAGATGTCGATTTTGAAAGAAGATTTATAAAAAAAAAATTGGGGTATTTTGGGCGTTGATTTTTATTATTTTTGAGCAATCCGGATTTTTCGTTATATATTTTGGGGAAATTTCTTGGATATTTTAAAAAGATCTAAATAATGATTTTTTTTCCATTTTTCGTAGTTACATACCTTTTGAAAAATTCGTTGGCTTAAAATCCACCCATAGAGTATAACGAAATTTTATGGTTCTCAATGTATAACCCATTATTTTGATATTTTTCAATTTTGGTTTATCACTGTTGGGATGTTGTGTTGGCATTTTTCCGGGACGGGGATATTGGCTCAGGGCATGAAATTCTTTATCCCCCACTATGGGATCCTCCTTCATTAGGGGCAATAACGATTTTCCCTGGGTGCACGTAAGTTGTTGAGCCGCCCCAGCTTGACATTTAGGAATCGCCGGTAAATGAGCCAATTCCACCAAGGTGGGAAATATATCCAATAACTCCGTACACTGATGTATAACTTGGTTTTGTATGGCAGCAAAGTCCGGCGATCTTATTAGTAATGGGACCCTTAGGGCTACTTCAAAATTACTATATTTTGCCCATTCGGCATGTTCTCCTAATGACCAACCATGATCACTTGTCACCACGACAATGGTATTCTTGAGATCCACCTCCATCATAAATTTACCAAACAGATCATCCACATATGAGACTGCAGCATAATAGGCCTGTCGGATTTTGGCACTTGGCATCTTTTTTATGGGTCCATAGGGAAATGGAGTGTGCCAACGTTTGACATCATCTCGTTTTCGTATGTCGGTATATGGATTCCAGGCAACTTTGGGCATATCATAGGGTTTGTATTTGTCGTTGGTGTAATTAAGAAAATCCTCCGCCCGAAAGCGTTCTATATATTCTTTGGGAAAACGTAAATTTATATGTGGCTTATGAAATCCCAAGGCGAGGAAATAGGGCTGCTTTGCTTTGGATCTTTTTTGGAGAAAATGTATTGCCTCATTTACCGATTCTATATCGGGCAATGTTTTGTGTGGTTGGGTCTTTAAATCCACCGGGCAGATAAGATTTCTTTTTAGGATTCCCATTTTATCTGGACAGACAGGTGAATTCATATAACGTTCGGTTTTTGGATGGAATACTGGTACGGACCAACTCAGGGGATAATCATCGCTGTTATTTGACGAGATGCCTGGATGGAATATTTTGCCAATGCCATAGCTGTGGTAACCCTGGGATTTAAAGTATTGAGGTAGTGTGGTGTAGTTCCCACTTGTCGAACGCCAATAGCTATAGAAATCATAAAGATGTAGGGTATCTGGACGGCGACTGGTCAACAACGAGTTACGGCTTGGGGCACACAAAGCTTGCTAAGGTAATTAGAAAGGGAAGATATTAATGGCGTATTTGAAGCTACTCTCAGGTTATCTTACCTGGCTATATGCTCTGCTAAATTGAAAACTTCCTTTGGCAAATCTATCCAAATTTGGTGTTTGGGCCAACGGATCAGCATAAGCCCCCAATGCTGGCCTTAGGTCATCAAATATCACCATTACAACATTATGGCGTGCGCTACAACATATCTCCAACATTGAACCGAAGAGGACGAATAAATTTCGTAAAAAATTTCTCGGCAACATTTTCAATGTCACCACAAAAATGAGATGCCGAAACGATGACGATCATCACCACGCCACCGAAATGTGGTTTTATTCAATGCCCGTTTGCAAATGCAACTAAATTGTTTAATTTCTCCATTGTCGGACATTGGCAATGAAATTTATGATATTTTTTTGTATTAGTCTGCAACATCATCTTTGCCGCATTCTGGGATCATTGTTTTTCATATTTTTGTTCTGAAACTGTTTACTCCTCGTTTATTCTTTGCTTTATTTTTTTTTTGTCCGATCTTGAGGTCGGAAGTATTTGCTTGACTTTCATACTCAAATGTCGGAGTATAGGGAGGAGAGTAAATTGCTGGATTGCAAATAAACAGTGGTTTGAATACATATAAAATTTAGAATACGCAAAATTTTTGGTGTGGATTTTTAAAGAATATTTTTCGAGAGACCCTTAGCTCTATAGGCGTGGATTTTTAAAAAATATTTTTCGAGAGACCCTTAGCTCTATAGGCGTGGATTTTTAAAAAATATTTTTCGAGAGACCCTTAGCTCTATAGGCGTGGATTTTTAAAAAATATTTTTCGAGAGACCCTTAGCTCTATAGGCGTGGATTTTTAAAGAATATTTTTCGAGAGACCCTTAGCTCTATAGGCGTGGATTTTTAAAGAATATTTTTCGAGAGACCCTTAGCTCTATAGGCGTGGATTTTTAAAGAATATTTTTCGAGAGACCCTTAGCTCTATAGGCGTGGATTTTAAAAGAATATTTTTCGAGAGACCCTTAGCTCTATAGGCGTGGATTTTTAAAGAATATTTTTCGAGAGACCCTTAGATCTATAGGCGTGAATTTTAAAAGAATATTTTTCGAGAGACCCTTAGCTCTATAGGCGTGGATTTTTAAGGAATATTTTTCGAGAGACCCTTTGCTCTATAGGCGTGGATTTTTAAAGAATATTTTTCGAGAGACCCTTAGATCTATAGGCGTGGATTTTAAAAGAATATTTTTCGAGAGACCCTTAGATCTATAGGCGTGGATTTTTAAACAATATTTTTCGAGAGACCCTTAGCTCTATAGGCGTGGATTTTTAAACAATATTTTTCGAGAGACCCTTAGCTCTATAGGCGTGGATTTCTAAACAATATTTTTCGAGAGACCCTTAGCTCTTTAGGCGTGGATTTTAGAAGAATATTTTTCGAGAGACCCTTAGCTCTATAGGCGTGGATTTCTAAACAATATTTTTCGAGAGACCCTTAGCTCTTTAGGTGTGGACCCTTAGCTCTATAGGCGTGGATTTTTAAATAACATTTTTCGAGAGACCCTTAGCTCTATAGGCGTGGATTTTTAAAGAATATTTTTCGAGAGACCCTTAGCTCTATAGGCGTGGATTTTTAAAGAATATTTTTCGAGAGACCCTTAGCTCTATAGGCGTGGATTTTTAAAGAATATTTTTCGAGAGACCCTTAGCTCTATAGGCGTGGATTTTTAAAGAATATTTTTCGAGAGACCCTTAGCTCTATAGGCGTGGATTTTTAAAGAATATTTTTCGAGAGACCCTTAGATCTATAGGCGTGGATTTTAAAAGAATATTTTTCGAGAGACCCTTAGCTTTATAGGCGTGGATTTTTAAAGAATATTTTTCGAGAGACCCTTAGATCTATAGGCGTGAATTTTAAAAGAATATTTTTCGAGAGACCCTTAGCTCTATAGGCGTGGATTTTTAAGGAATATTTTTCGAGAGACCCTTTGCTCTATAGGCGTGGGTTTTTAAAGAATATTTTTCGAGAGACCCTTAGATCTATAGGCGTGGATTTTAAAAGAATATTTTTCGAGAGACCCTTAGATCTATAGGCGTGGATTTTTAAGGAATATTTTTCGAGTGACCCTTAGCTCTTTAGGTGTGGATTTTTAAAGAATATTTTTCGAGAGACCCTTAGATCTATAGGCGTGAATTTTAAAAGAATATTTTTCGAGAGACCCTTAGCTCTATAGGCGTGGATTTTTAAGGAATATTTTTCGAGAGACCCTTTGCTCTATAGGCGTGGATTTTTAAAGAATATTTTTCGAGAGACCCTTAGATCTATAGGCGTGGATTTTAAAAGAATATTTTTCGAGAGACCCTTAGATCTATAGGCGTGGATTTTTAAACAATATTTTTCGAGAGACCCTTAGCTCTATAGGCGTGGATTTTTAAACAATATTTTTCGAGAGACCCTTAGCTCTATAGGCGTGGATTTCTAAACAATATTTTTCGAGAGACCCTTAGCTCTTTAGGCGTGGATTTTAGAAGAATATTTTTCGAGAGACCCTTAGCTCTATAGGCGTGGATTTCTAAACAATATTTTTCGAGAGACCCTTAGCTCTTTAGGTGTGGACCCTTAGCTCTATAGGCGTGGATTTTTAAATAACATTTTTCGAGAGACCCTTAGCTCTATAGGCGTGGATTTTTAAAGAATATTTTTCGAGAGACCCTTAGCTCTATAGGCGTGGATTTTTAAAGAATATTTTTCGAGAGACCCTTAGCTCTATAGGCGTGGATTTTTAAAGAATATTTTTCGAGAGACCCTTAGCTCTATAGGCGTGGATTTTTAAAGAATATTTTTCGAGAGACCCTTAGCTCTATAGGCGTGGATTTTTAAAGAATATTTTTCGAGAGACCCTTAGATCTATAGGCGTGGATTTTAAAAGAATATTTTTCGAGAGACCCTTAGCTTTATAGGCGTGGATTTTTAAAGAATATTTTTCGAGAGACCCTTAGATCTATAGGCGTGAATTTTAAAAGAATATTTTTCGAGAGACCCTTAGCTCTATAGGCGTGGATTTTTAAGGAATATTTTTCGAGAGACCCTTTGCTCTATAGGCGTGGGTTTTTAAAGAATATTTTTCGAGAGACCCTTAGATCTATAGGCGTGGATTTTAAAAGAATATTTTTCGAGAGACCCTTAGATCTATAGGCGTGGATTTTTAAGGAATATTTTTCGAGTGACCCTTAGCTCTTTAGGTGTGGATTTTCGAAGAATATTTTTAAGGGGCCATATGTGACTTATGTCTGGATTTTTAAAAAAAACTATTTTTGAGAGCCCATATGTGATTTATGCCTGGATTTTTAAATAATATTTTTGAGGGTCCATATTAGGCTTTTATTTAAAATTATTTAAATAACATTTCCAAACGATCATATATTTTTTACAATAATATTAATACATAAACAAGCTTCGTTTTTTGATGTCCAATCATGTCATAACTCGAATGAATTCTCAATATTCTCTAGCGATTTAATGTCCTTCCAAGAACAATAATTAAATTTTATGATTTGGAACTGCAACTGCTGTTCAACGAGTGAGAGAATGAAGTATTCCCCCCTCCCCCTCTCACGAACTGCATTTAATATGTATTTTTTTTTCTTTTGTTTTTTTTTTTTTTTTTTTTTTTGGAAAGAAGACACTTTTCTAAAGTGGCCATATCTTTGTTGAACCTCTCAATTTGTAATTCTCTGCTGTTGTTTTTGTTGGTTAGACAACAAAGCGGCATAAAAGTTAAAACAAAAACGACAACAACAAACCATATTCATAGATAATTCAAGATAAACAAATCAGTTTTTTATTATTGTTGTAGTAACATTTTACAACTTACTCACTCATGATTTCTAGTGGAGGAAGTACTTCCGGTCGCGGTTAAATGAATACATACACACACACTTAGCACACATTCAACTCAACACAACATGACAAACAACGAAGCAAGCACGCAAGAAGAAAATTAACAACAACAACACTAACAGCAATAAAATAAAACTAACAGTAGCAACGAACATATCAAGCGATTACCGATTTCTCCATGTCTGTATGTATTTTTTATATCTAAGAGTTAAAAAAAATACTTACACACATGTATAATCATGATGGATGAGTATGTGTATATATTGTTGTGTAAGACAAATGTATATGGGGGGAATTAAATTGGACACCGCCATACACAATTGGAGTGCATCGCTTTTTTGAAAAATGTTTAAACATATAAGAGTGGTTGCACTTTTATGTCTCTTAAGGGACCCTCCAAAAATATTCTATAAAAATCCACGCCTATATTTGATATGGGCCCTCCAAAAATATTCTATAAAAATCCACGCCTATATTTGATATGGTCCCTCCAAAAATATTCTATAAAAATCCACGCCTATATTTGATATGGTCCCTCCAAAAATATTCTATAAAAATCCACGCCTATATTTGATATGGTCCCTCCAAAAATATTCTATAAAAATCCACGCCTATATTTGATATGGTCCCTCCAAAAATATTCTATAAAAATCCACGCCTATATTTGATATGGTCCCTCCAAAAATATTCTATAAAAATCCACGCCTATATTTGATATGGTCCCTCCAAAAATATTCTATAAAAATCCACGCCTATATTTGATATGGTCCCTCCAAAAATATTCTATAAAAATCCACGCCTATATTTGATATGGTCCCTCCAAAAATATTCTATAAAAATCCACGCCTATATTTGATATGGTCCCTCCAAAAATATTCTATAAAAATCCACGCCTATATTTGATATGGTCCCTCCAAAAATATTCTATAAAAATCCACGCCTATATTTGATATGGTCCCTCCAAAAATATTCTATAAAAATCCACGCCTATATTTGATATGGTCCCTCCAAAAATATTCTATAAAAATCCACGCCTATATTTGATATGGTCCCTCCAAAAATATTCTATAAAAATCCACGCCTATATTTGATATGGTCCCTCCAAAAATATTCTATAAAAATCCACGCCTATATTTGATATGGTCCCTCCAAAAATATTCTATAAAAATCCACGCCTATATTTGATATGGTCCCTCCAAAAATATTCTATAAAAATCCACGCCTATATTTGATATGGTCCCTCCAAAAATATTCTATAAAAATCCACGCCTATATTTGATATGGTCCCTCCAAAAATATTCTATAAAAATCCACGCCTATATTTGATATGGTCCTCCAAAAATATTCTATAAAAATCCACGC